ACAATTATTTATTTATTTATTTATTTATTTATTTATTTATTATTTATTTTTTGGTGTTTTTTTGAGACAGGGTCTCCCTGTAGTCCCAGCTGTCCTGGAACTCACTATGTAGACCAGGCTGGCCTTGAACTCATAGAGATCTGACTGCCTCTGCCTCCCAAGTGCTGGGATTAAAGGCATGGGCCACCACGCTGGCCCGCAATAACAATTCTTAAGACAGAAACTTTAAAATATGAGATGAAAACACTATTAATCCAGGTTCTTTATTCTCCTAGACTTACAGAAAGAGAGAATGGGCAAAAACAGTCAGCTAGCATATATACGAACCTCTAAGCTGAAAGATCCCTTTGAATAAAAATAAAGAAAACCCTAAAAGTTTTCAAAAAGGAAAAATGTTACATTCTAAAAACTGTTCATAACTATAATAATTACAAGACAGTGACTTCTGTGAATATCTTCAAAACCTTGAAGAAATGTTACTTCAGATTAGAATTCTACACATTCAAAATATCAGAGAAGGGGTGAGTTGAATGAGTACATTTTTAACCATGTGAGTTCTTGAAAGGTAATAAAAACTTAAATATTTTATTTTATGTGTACGAGTGTATTGCCTGCATGTATGAGAGTGCACCCATGTTGTGCAATGCTGCGGAGGTTTGAAGAGGGCTTCAGAGTCCCCTGGAACTGGGTGGAGTTAAGGATGGTTCGCAGCCTCCATGAAGGTGCTGGGACTCAAACCTGGGTCCTCTGCAAGAGCAGTCAGTGCTCTTAACCGCTGAGCCATCTCTCCAGCCCAAAAGGTAATAAAAATTTAATAAATATCAGAGTAACAGGAAGTGTTTATACTACACCAACACCATGGAACTATCCAACAAATAGCAGAACAGTTAAGGAGAAAGCAGTCAGGCAACTCGCCAGGAAGAGCGAGGAAAGAGCGAGGAAAACCAAAACTTCGAAGATCCCTCAGACACAGAAGCAGGGCTGTATAACCCACAAATGCATTTAGAAGGACAGTATTTCAACAGAGGGTATGATTTATTTTGTTTTAATCAGCGAAAGTATCCCTAGTGAACATTTGAAGAACCCTTATAATGAAGATACACTACACTCGGGTTTTTTTAAATGTGTAGAAAATAAATGCTCATTATACGAGATAGAATTTAATTGCAGTTTAATTTCATCACCAAACATCAACGTAAGTTATAAAGGGAAGATTCTTGTTAACAATGGGGCAACTGGGATGTCTCATAGAGACCCTGATAATGTGATTGGCTAATTTATCCTTGATTTGCAACAGCAATAAAACTACATCCATTGGAAATATCAAGAGGACAACTATGAACCTACTATGTCTGGGTTTTTTGTTGTTACTGTGGTACTTTTTACTGTATTTTTGTGATTTTCATACAATATAGTTTGATGGAATTTAGATCCACTCCTCTCTCCATACCTCCTTCCACTACTCCTTGCCCAATTTGATGAACTCTCTTACATATATAACATGGCCTATAGAGTATAATTCGTGTCCCCCAATGTCCTTCAGTATGGATTCATCCACTGCCCCATCTCTAAGAGTCCCAACCCTGTAAGACACTGTCTTTCTCCCTCCCAGCAGCCACCATTTGCCGAAAGTTCCTTAGGCTAGGTTGGGATTTCTTACACAATTTTCTATTTCTATGCTTGTATTTTGTCTAGTTTGAGCTTGCAAAGGACTTGTGGATGCTGTTAACATTGCTGTGAGTTCATATGAGTAAATGACCTGTCGTCTGAAAGATTCTGTTTCCTTGTGGTCCTCCACCCCCTCTGGTACTCATAATCTGTCTCCTCTTCCATAATGCTCCTTGAGCCTTGGGAAGCAGAAGTTTGAAATAGCTGTCCTATTCAGGGATAAGAGTCTTATTCTCTATACACTGGCTAATGGTGGGTCTCTGTGTTAATCACCATCTGCTGCATGAGAAAACTTCTTTCATTAGAGTTAAGAGATACATTGGAGCTTGAGAGAGAGGGGAATAGTAGGAAACAGATGTTATTAAGGTAGAAATGGAGAAAATTGCATACTCTGTGGATAGAGTATGGAAGGTTATACGTGAAGGTTAGAGGAGAAATAAACAATGCTTAGACAACACAAAAATCAAGAGGGGAATGTGTTAGTTTAAATTTGGCCTGAAAAATACATATACAATTAATATATGAGTGCATGTGCAATGAAGGCTCTATAACAAAAACTACAGTGCTGGGCAGGAGAAAAAACCTTTACAAGTGTTTGGGTATTTCAAGAGACACCCCAAATAATATAGGCCATAGCCTCAGTCCTTGATTGCCACCCAGAACTTGAAGGTAAGACTTGTTGAAGACAGGTCACATTTCAGGCACAGGACTGGGAGCAATTGAGCTGGAACTGACCAGGAAGCCTCCTCCCTGAAGACTAGCTCACAAGGTATCAGAGGATATTTTACAAACTGCTAAGTGAGAAAACTAATCAATGACCTACCCAGCTGTGAAGCCTAGCAAACAATGACCGGTACAGAAAACTATCACTATTGGTGTAGTAGTGGCACTTTTATCTTGAGGTTAATCAACAGCTGTCTAAAAGGAATTAAAGGCCGTTCAGTGGGAGGGAGCTCATGTGTGGTAGTGTAAACACAGCCAAATACACATGGCTGGAGAGGTAATATATCCTATAGAAAAATCTACTTTTGCCACATTCCTAGGCCAACACGATTTCTTACTTTATTCTAAATATGCATCCTCATATTTAAAGGTAAGTGTACCTTTCACCTTTATGATCACTGTTATAACCCTTAATTTGTAGATGAGAAGAAGGAAAAGGTAAATAACTATCCAAAATTATCACCTTTACCTAGCAGCTAGACAATCATGTAGGAGTGCAGGTCTTGTTCCAAGGCTGTGTTGGAGATATTGGTTCAGGAGACATTAGAATAAATGAGAGGGTTAAAGCCTTGGAATCTTGCAGGAACTGTGCATGCATCAAGAGGGCAGGATAGCAGACAGAAACTCGAGAAACTTTCAATGCTTGAAAAGACCTCTGAGATTTTAAAAAGTGTTAGAAAAAGGAGAAAGCGAGCTCAAGATGCACACACAGGGAATTCAGTGGAAAAGAGGCGTAAAATCCAGGGGAGGATGATGTCATCAAGTTTGAGGGACATTTAAAAATATAAGTGAATTGGTATCATCCCAGGATCAAGCCCAATTAAGCTAAACAGGCATAGATTTTAGTATATAAATGCACTTGAAGACCACTGCTGATTTTTGTCAGAGCAATTTAGAGAAATGACAGAATTAGTAAACATATTTTGGTGAGGAGATTCTGAGAAGAATGGTAAACAGAAAGGAAAGAGAAGGCAGCCAGTGAACCACTATGATTTTCCTACAACAAACACATAGACGTGTTGGCATCAAGTTTAGAAATAACACAAATCAGCTGGGAAAAAAAAAGAAATAGCATAAATCAATTTGCCTCAAAAAGAAAATTAAGAGTAGCTAGAAGGGACCGTGTAGATTTGAACATCAGGCTTTGTTTATCTCTCATGGGTTATAGAAAAGAGAATCAAGGAGAACAGGAAAGAATAAATGTAGAAAAGAGATAGCTACTATGAAATCATGAAAAAAAATGCTTGTTCTTAAAAACATGTTCTGAGTGTACCTGTTTAACTATGAACAAAGGTTTCTGAATCATACCATAGTTGGTAACAGCCATTTAATATGCACATATTTTTCAGTTGTGTGTGTAGCATTAATACCACTTATGATTAATACCACATCTATAATCACTTATGAGAAAGGTTAAACCTGTGAGATAGTACATTATTATTCTGTAGATGGCAAAATCAAGTTCTAATTGGCCTACCCACCATTTGGATGAAGGAAAGAGTTTGTTCATAATGGTCCTTTCACACCAGTGCTTTGTGTCTTTCGTAGTACACATGTGAGCAGTGTTGATGGATCATAGTCAATAAAATCTCTCTACTCCAAATTAAGATGTATTTCCAAAAGAAAATGATCATTATCTATCAACTGAATACTCTCTGTAAAAGGATACTTTTGTTTGCATCTTTCCTCAAGAGAATTGCTATTTTTTTCTAATATATACTAAATGCACGATATTAGCTTAGACATAGGTTAAAAGAAATGAATGTACTAGAATGGATTCTAAGGCAGTAAATGTAAAACACGTGTTACATTATAATGAGTAAGAATCATTCATTTCATTTTAAAGCTTAAAGTGTATTAGTGAGGAGTGGGAACTAGAGATACAAAATTATTCTGAAAATCAAGGGAGATTATCATATTTAGTACTAGAATCATATATTCCTACTCAAAGAGTTAAGTTTTTCAAATATATATTTCTCTTTTTCTACTAATCAAAACATTCCAGCATCTGTTATATATCAAAAATGAATAAAATATGTCCTCATAAGCAGAGGGCATTGGTCTTTCATTTTTAATATTTCATTGTTTTTAAAAGAGCATCTACAAAATAGTGTTTTAAAAATCTCATTTTTTGTAGTTGCAATTAAAATTCCCTTCAGTTGCTGGCTGGTGGATCTGATCTATACAACAGGACATTGGAACATCTTTGGAATTGTAATTAGGAGTGAAAATAGCCTTGAATATTGCAAAACATTGTTGAAATTAAAATAAAAATTTCCTTTGCTGCATTGCATAGATGTCAAGGGACTGCGGTTGTTGGAGGGGTTAAAGTTGGAGCTTCTGGTGCATATATATTACAGAGGATACATAAAAACCTGACAGCAGAGACTGGGTCAACCCACTACTGTGAGCAGCGGTGACCAATAGGATAGGCAGGAGAAGATCCAAGAGGCTGAGGTAAGCCGTCTCCTGAAGGCTGTCAAAGTGGAAACAATACATCAAAAGGTATTCATGGTGACTGGTCACGGTAGATTGGGCTTTTTCTGGTAGTAGGCTTAACAGCATAAACTCAAAACAAAAATATTCAGTCCTTTTTTCACCTCTTCAACTGATTTTAGCAAACTGCAGGCCAGCCAAAGGACTCAACGGTATATTACTGGAAGGCAAGGTAAACTATTCTTTCTTTTTACAACCTCAAGTTTGAAATTTTGAGTTCTGATTCATAAGACGGAGTGTTACAATTTTGATAACTGAAGCAAATCTCTATTCTGACAAAAACGTGTCTCTGTTGGAAGCAGGCCAGGCAGCATTCTGCAGTCCTGGGGAAACTGGCAGCTTGCAGCTCCGCACTTGTCACTGTCTGCAGTTTAATGGCAAAGCTAAGAGATCAGCAGTTCACCAATGATTGATGTCATCTTTTTGTATCACAGAATCAGTAAAGCATATATTGTGCTTATCAATTGGTTTAGCTAAATGTGTATTGATCAAAATGAATATAACGGGTTATTAGTTACTATTTCAAATATATGTATGTTTTTCTCATACAGTAATTCTTTATAATATCTGATGATACTTAGTGGAATCAGTTGATATCCTTTAATGTATCACACATCAGAACCTATTACCTCATTTGTTGTTAATACCCATTTTGAATATATGAGTATATGGGAATTCTTGACCTATATCATATTTCTTTTGTTTCTTATTCACTATAATTATGCTGTATTTGAATAAATATACACCAATATTATATAAATGATATGTTAACTATATGAACTCTATCGTATGTAGTCACATATATGTATATGTACACAATAGAATACATATTAGGGAGATTATATGAATTATACATGAAATGTTGTATGAGAGAATTTATAACTAAATTTATTGGTTGAACACTGAATTCTAATACTGTACATAAAATTATATGTATTCCCTGTGCTCAAAGTAAAAGTTACCTGAATAATTCAGCAACAGCAATAGAACTAAAGGTTAATCACATATTTTTCTTCAGCTCCTAGAACTTTCCTTCAACATAAACTTCTACAGTGTCTTTTCATCTTCTTATTCCTTTGGTTCAAGGGCCAAGGAGCCTGGGAAATCTCCTCCAGATGTTTAGTTCATTTAAGAGTAAAAGTAGAAACAAAAGCATATGCCTACCTCTTGGAAATAAAATGGACTTCCAACTTCAATTATTAGATCACATTCGGCCCTCATATCCAACTACTGGTTTCAGTTAAGTTTTTCAATTAAATAGCCTGAAATGGAAAAGCACTTAGAGCTGCTAAAGTGTGCTTTCTGTTCCTCAGCTTTCATTGTGACTCAGTTAAAATCAGGAAGCTCAAGGTCAGTAAATTTGTTTCAAGGTTGATATCCTTAGCACTCCTTTGAAGGAGCAATATTTACTGGTCATTTTGATGTAGGTCATGATATAAACTTTGCCATTTGTAATTGTCTCCTATAGGTACTACCATGGTAACCTCCATCTGTTTCATCCTATGGGTGTTACTCACAGCAGATACTGTGTGGACTCAAAGTGCAAGGCAGGTTAACGAAGTACAAGACCCAGAGGACTGGAATGTGAACGACGACTTCTATTGTCCCAGGGAATGTTTCTGTCCTCCCAGTTTCCCTACTGCCTTATACTGTGAAAATCGAGGTCTCAAAGAAATTCCTGTTATCCCTTCAAGGATCTGGTACCTCTACCTTGAAAACAACCTAATAGAAACCATCCCCGAGAAGCCATTTGCAAATGCTACCCAGTTGAGGTGGATAAACTTAAATAAGAACAAAATAACCAACTATGGGATTGAGAAGGGAGCCCTAAGCCAGCTAAAGAAGCTTCTTTTCCTGTTTCTAGAGGACAATGAGCTAGAGGAGGTACCTTCTCCACTGCCAAGAAGCTTAGAACAATTGCAATTAGCCAGAAACAAGGTATCCAGAATCCCTCAGGGCACCTTCAGCAATTTGGAAAATCTGACCCTTCTTGATTTACAGCATAATAAACTGTTAGATAACGCCTTTCAAAGAGACACCTTCAAGGGGCTGAAGAATCTCATGCAGCTGAATATGGCTAAGAACTCCCTGAGGAACATGCCCCCAAGATTACCAGCCAACACCATGCAACTGTTCCTGGACAACAACTCCATTGAAGGAATACCTGAAAATTATTTCAACGTGATTCCTAAAGTGGCCTTCCTGAGACTAAACCACAACAAACTGTCAGATGCAGGCCTCCCCTCAAGAGGTTTTGATGTGTCATCAATTCTAGATCTTCAGCTGTCTCACAATCTACTTACAAAGTTTCCCCGAATCAGTGCTTACCTGCAGCACCTGCACCTTGATCACAACAAAATTAAAAGTAAGTAGCCCTGAGAATGTACTTTGCTCCAATGCCTGTAATTAATTACCTACTGCCTCTGTCCCTTTTAAGTATAGCAATTATGTTGGCCCCCAACTAATGGGTCCTCAAATTTGAGAAATTGTTTTCAGTTTGCATTACAAAACTTTGGTCAACTTTAACGAAAGAAGAAGTGCAAATCTACAAATTTAGGATTGAAAAGTGAATCTCAGTAATCTATACAAGGCTATAAGGCTATTATGTATGGGAGAAATTAAATCTCTTCATTTTTTTAACATGGAGAAATTCTATCATTTCTGTCTCTGTGAGAGGACTTTCCTTTATTTCTAAGCAGCATCTGTATTCCAGGCTGGAAGTAAATGTGAATCAGTTTCTGTCTCATCCTTCTGAGTGCCAGGATTACAGATCTATGTCTGGGAAGACAACTAGAGATTACAGAATAGTTGATGCGTGAACCCAAGTATCATTTCTGATTAAACACTCTCAGATAAAGTGACTTTCTCAAACATCAGTGTGTACAGAGTGGGGGTTCCTTTACCCCCTTAGTTTCTGATTCAGTAGGCCTGGGTGGGACCTGAGAATTCTTATTCCCAACAAATTCCCAAGCACAGCTGCTGTTGCTGACAACATAGAGAACCACACATAGAGAACTATTACTGGTGTTTAGTGTTTTTACTGAAAATGGAAACTAATGCGCCTAGAAGCTGGCAATCACAGGTAGGTAGTGGCATATTCGTAGGGTTGAGTATGTTATTCTTTCTTACAAAGATATTTGGATAGGAAGTAGGCAGTGGATCAGAATGAAATCTTTGGAGGCAAAGGTGTTATCAAGGAAAGAAGTGGTTCCAAAAAGTGAAGGCTGGGAACATTTGACATGAACTTGGCCCCTCAGCATTATGTCAGAATGTGCTTGGTGGTAGAAATGGTCAATACTGTATTTCAGCCACAAGGGTGTGATACTCAGCCTAGTGTTGATCTTTGTATCCTCAATTCCAGGATAAGCCTGCTAGGCAGATAACCATAGGGACATTTCTTCTGGAAATATTTAGAAAATGGACTCTTAAAACAAGATTTGATAAAAATGGTTTATAGAAAGTTATCCAAATAAATGTTGCAGAGCTATGTTTCCTGGTTATTATTCACTAAAGTTTCACTAAATAAATAATTACATGAATGTTCCATTGCAAGATCTGACCATCTTTCCAATGGGTACTGCTCGAGTATTCCTGATTTTTGTGTTTGTTGTTGCTACAACATATTTGAGCAGACAATACAGGACTAAGTGGCAGGTTACCTCCACAGCAGTTCTTTATTTTCTAGGGTAAAGAAACATAATATTTTATACTCTAGTCAAAAGCTAAAGATTAAACACAGTAAAGCTGTTAAATGAACCTGTTTTTCTGAGTCAAACAGTACAACCCCCCAAAATAACCCTGAGTTTGGAAGTTTTCCCTAATGAGATTTCTATGCTTTTTCAGGTGCACACTTTGTCAGACAACTGTAGTGGGAAATGAATTTCAAATGCTTCCACAGAGATCTTTGTGAGCTGGAGACTCTACCCTGAGAACTTGCGAATGAGGGTGTTTAGGAGTCAATGTGCCAATGTTGAAAGCACAGTCAGGAAGTGTAGCATTCTGCACTTCCTCCCCTGAAAATTTAGAGACAGTTTTCAAAGGGTGTGATCATGCATTCCTATTTTCAATCATTCTTATCTACTAGTGTGCATTAGAATCCTCTGGAGAGTTTGTGAAAGATTGTAGGGTACCCCCACCCCAGGTCTTTATGACCCATGGCTCTGATTTGGAGCCTGATATTCAATTCTCAAATAATGTTGATGCCTCTTGTCCAGGATTGGAGAAACATAAAACCTCCCAGGAGCCTGCAATATTATTAGGAAGTTAAAAGAAACTACGAAAGCTTGGGTAGGTGGGAATATTTGTCCAAGGACAAGATGTGAACGCCAGAATCCGAGGCTCCATCCTTTTTCAAACAAGAAACCATTTCCACTCATTTATAACGATAATGATAGTTGTGCCTCTAGATGTAGATGTCACATGTGGTCATTACTACATTCCAAGGAAATAAATGTAATAATGTTTTTACTAGAATTATTGGATCATATTTATATCATTTTGTGTTAAAATCTGTTGATATACTTAGTTCTTCTTGCCATACAATCTAGTAGTTTTCCAAGAAACATAATTTTTATGTGAAGCGGCCCCCGAGTTTACAAGTGAACTTTTCTCTTGGGATTTCATAAAACTTTGTATTTCTCTAAATGTGAAAAGAAACTTAACATTTGATGCAATATATATATATATAAACAAGTTAATTTTCAATATTTTCTGAGAAAAACAAGACTTATGGTACAAGTATTGAATGTAGAACTCTTGTTTCTCAAATTCCATTGATTCAGGTATGTGCTGGTTCTAGGCACGAGAATGATGAAAATATGAAATAAGGAAGGGACACAATCTCCAAAGTAGACAAGTATCCAGGCAGCTGACAAAATGAATTTGCTTGCCCCAACTGAACACAAGGGAGAAACTTTGCCCAGTGTAGAAGGGTCTAATTAGAAAGGATCTCTTGCTCAAAATTGTTTGAGAATGGCACTAGAGTCATGTTTGAAATTGCCTGCTACATATAGACTTCTCTGCATTTTGCTAGTATAATGGCCCTTCTCACCAGAGGAGGCTGTTACATCTCATCACAACCATTGATGCCAAGCGCTCTGATCCAAGGCAGGTGTAAGTTCTCTCACCAGAACCATGTGTGAAGGATGATGGGAGGTTTCTTGGCTTCAAAGATTTCAATCCTTTGTAATTCAACTGTCAGCAAAGGTCTTCTCCCTGGTATACTTAATATACTTAACTATTCCTGCATGTAAAAAGTCATGCTTGCAAGCATTACATATGTAAATTTGTGATAATTCCACTTAAAAAACCTTACCATATACTCTTTTTAATCTTTTAGGCTAATTTGAAAACATATTCTCTGCTATTTGCCCAAATTTTCCAAGCACTCATTCATCCATCCATCCACTATCTTACTCATGCAGATTTTTAATGTCAAGCCTAACTACTGTGCCCATCTTTAATCCTCTGAACACTTCCTGTCTCATTCTTGTATAATATAGTAATTTAAACATGCTTTTTCTCACTTGCAAGCTTATGAAGGAAGAAATGTATCTTGTTTACCTTGTGTTACATCCTAATTCTTAAAAATATACATGTCAAGAGGCAGAACATGAAGGGTTTTGCATCTGTATTGTACATTTTTTCATGACTTTTTCTATAAAATAGATATGAATAGTAATTTGTTCAACAATGGTTTGCCTACACTTTTCATGCAAGAGCCCATCTGGCCCTCTGTTAGGACCACTACAGTGGATTCTTGGATTTCATTCTCTAGTATTTCTTGTGCTACAATTTAATCATTTATGTTATCACTGACTCTGCAGATGTGAACGTCTCCAGAATATGTCCAACCACACTGCGTGCAGACCAAGATGCTTTCATTCATGGGCCTCAACTGAGCTATCTGCGCCTGGATGGAAATGAGATCAAACCACCAATTTCAATGGATTTAACAGCATGCTTCAAGCTTCTTCAGGCCGTCATTATATAAACACATCTTCACCAAATCCAGAATTGGTTTAAGAGTGAATGTGTGTGATCTGAATTTGATCATCATTCTTAGGCTTAGGTCAAAAGTCACATTTCTAGCTGTTCTTGGCTGGCATTTTCACGAGTGCAGCTTACTGCTTCTATTGAAAGACGCTTTCATCAACCATGCACAGGGGCCACTTCTGGTCATTTGCTTTTCTCTAATTCATTAAACAGACACAGAGCTGAAATAGCTTTTCAACTCAAAGATAATTTTGTGTTTTTCACAACTGTTAGCATCAGAAATGTATTTTTATTGTTACACATTACAAAGGATTTATTTGTGTATGCCCAGGTTTATTTGAGCTGGTAATATATTTATGGTACAATTACAACAGCGAGTAGGAAGAGTCAAAGAAAATGAATAAATGAAGCAATTCTTTGTCATAATTATGATTAATTTAGTAGGCAAATATTTCATGAAAGGAGAATTCTAGTCGTTTCGCATTAGGAGACATTGGTAGTTCCCTGACTTTACTTATGTCTCTTCCTCAGCTCTAGTACACTAGTCTCCAAAAAACAAAAGCCCTAAAATTTACATTTATTATAACAGTTCTCACAGAAGCACACTATTTTGAGATTAGAAATTCCCTCAAATTGCACATTATTCAGCTCTTATTCTGATCACCATTTTTTCTCAATAAAAAGAATGAGTGTTTTCTAACAAAACAGAAGTATAGTATTTGTTTCAAGGACACTACATACAAGTTTCATTTAGGAATGTGTTTTAATAAAAAAGTGCTGTAGTCTCAATTATTTTGCCTCCATGAATACAAACAATATGTTATCCTCTATCTTGTTCTATTTTTTCTTCTGGTAAGTATAAGAAAAATTGTATTCTCAATACATGGCATAAATATATATCTGTGTCGAATTTTTTATAAAGCTCAAGATTTTATTGTGTAGCTAAGTATGTTTTGCTTTATCATTCTAATTTTACATGATATGTGCTATGCATAATTTAAAGATTTACAGATGTCTTACATATTTCAAATAATGTTCTCAAAATTCATATGAATTGTCTTAGTTTGCTTCTCTATTGCTGTGAATAAAACACTGACCAAACCAATTTGGGGGGAAAAGGGCTTATTTGGATTAGAGCACAGTCTATCATCTAGGTAAGCCAAGGTAGGAACTGAGGGCAGGAACCTGGAGCACAGCCCACGGAGGAAGACTGCTACTGGTTGTTCCTCTTGCATCTGATCATCCTGTTTTCTGATACAGCAGACCACCTGCCCAGGTTTGGTACTGGGCCATAGTGGACTGGGCCTTCTCACATCACTAAACAATCAAATATGTCCCATAGACATGGTCACAGCACAATCCAATGGAAGCAGTTTCTCAGTTGAGTTCTTCTACCCAGGTATGTCAAGTTGACAACTAAAGCTATCCAACATGATGGACCCCTTGTCAACTTGACACACAACTTTCCATTTCTTGTCCCCAAGATATGATGCAAATATTAACATCATAACATAAAACAGCACAACTTTAAAAGTCCAAAATCCTTAAAATATTTAAACACTGTAAAAATTCAAAATCTCTTTAAAAGTCTTTTAACTGTGGGTTCCTGTAAAATTCAAAACAAATTAAGGGCTGTCTTATTTCAAAAGGAAAAAATTGGGTACACTTAAGCAAAACCAAAGTCCAGAAAAGTGGTTTGACATTGGGGACTCATTAACAATCCTCTGGGCCCAAAGGACTTGGGAAGCTCCACTTTTTTGGCTCTGCCATCCACAGCACACCTGGCTTGTCTGATAGGCTCAGGCCAGCATCACTCCATACCTGCTGCTGCCCTTGGTGGTCATCCCATGGTCCCAGCATCTCTATGATGGGGTCTCTAGAGAAACTGAGCCTGCACCTTCACCAATGGGCTCTTCTGAGCTCTGTGGTGCAAAGCCTCAGATTCTCCCCATAACCCCTTCAATCCTGCAACTTCAATCCTTCACTGAAATTGAAGCTACACTTTCACCAATGACCTTTCCTGGTATCTCAGGTTGCCAAGCTTCAGCTGATCTCTGTGACCTCTTCATGCCTTCAAAACCAGTACTATGTAGAAGACTCTTCCACATTACCAAGTCCTACTTCCAGCTTGATATGGAAGCTTGGGCCCACTCTAGACCAAAACTTTCGTTAGCCGAAACTGAGGAAATAGTTCCCAGGAGATTTCGCCTCAGTGCTGGCCAGTCTCTTGTTACTCACAGCCAATTTTCAGCCCCAGCTAACCAGCATCAATTGTCCCAGGAAAGCACACAAGGTTTCACTTCCAAAAATTCTTAATTCATCACAAACAGCCCTGAAGAGTCTTTGTTTCCCTTAAAAATGCACAAGCCAGGCCTCCATCACCCCCATTTCTCATCAGCACAACTGTTCAAAGCTTCATAGCAACAGCCACTAAGCTCTGAGCACTCAATGGCTTTTCTAGTGCAAGGTTTCAAACTCTTTCACAATCCTCCTGAAAACAACTGGGTCAGGCCTGTAACAGCAATAGTCACTCTCTGGTACCAATTTCTGTCTTAGTTTGCTTCCCTATTGCTGTGATAAAAACACTGACCAAAACAAGGGGAGTAAAGGGTTTACTTGGCTTGGAGCACAGTCCATCATCAAGGGAAGCCAAGTCAGAAACTCAGGGCAGGAAACTAGGGTACAGACCGTGGACGAACATTGCTTACTGGCTTGATCCTCTGGTCTATGCTCAGCCTGCTTTCTTATACAACATTAAGAATATCTGCCCAGGGGAGTCACCGCCAATAGTGGGCTGGACCCTCCCACAACAATCAATAATCAAGAAAATGCCCTACACATATGGCCACAGCACAATCCAATGAAGGGAATTCCTCAGTTGATGTTCCTTAAACCCAGGTGTTGTCAACTTGATAACTAAACCTATTCAACACATGATTTTCCCTAGAAGGTGACTATATGCACTTTTGAAACAATAAGCTAAAAAAATTTAGTATCTTCTCAGAAAAATTATGTTCTTCTGTAACACAAATTCTCAAAAAAATATGATGTAAGATATTATCTATTTACTTTGCATGAAGATTCATCTGGAGTTAGGAAAAAAGAGCCAATCGGGACATTTGAAGATAATTTTAAAATTCTAAGGCAACAAATCAAATTAATTGTCATTAAAAATTAAAATTACTTCAAGGCACATATATTATGAAAAATATTTCATATACAATTACAACATCAAAAATAGGTTAAAATATATCACCAGACTTGGAAAAAAGAATACATTTAAATGTTTGCAATGTTATAATTTGAAAATAAAACCCCAAATGAAGACTTCTACATATGGGCCAGATTTATAAGGAATCATATTTTAATTGTATCTGAATCCTCCATTACCCACAGTTTACCTTCTGCAGTTTTTGTTAGCTGTGTTCACAGTGGTCTGAAATTATTCAAAAGAACATTCCAGAATTAAAGATATCATAAGTTTTAAGTCATACACCATTTTGATAATCATGATGAACCTTCCTACTGCTCTGCTCCATCCACCCAGGACATGAACCATCCCTTTGTCCAGAGTATTTATGCTGTGTACTGTACCCATCCTTTAGTCATCTAGTAACTACCTGAGTTATGAGACCTGCAGACACTATCATGTTGTTCATGTCCACAGTCTGTGTGTGTAGGATAACACTGCATTACAATGCCTGTATCTTTCACCTCACTTCATCTCATTGTGTAGACACTGTATTTCAAAAAACTTTTTTTACTGTAGATTATTATTGCTCTATGTATTAGTCACTATTTGAATCTCTTACTAAACTTATGAATTTAATATTGTTTCAGATATGTATGAGTGGAGTGAACACAGTCAATTTATATGTAGTATTATCTGTGTGTTCAAGTCTCCACTATAGATCTTAGAATTTATCTGTCACAGGTAAGAACTGACTACTATATTTATGCGTGTTTACTTAATACATATGGGTGATGATTCTGTGCAATTTAATGACTATAGCTCTTAGGAAGAATTTGGAAATGACTGAAGAGTTTAAGGCAGAAGAGTTCATGAGTGGTGACATCATGCAGTATTAAAGAACACCAAAGCCTAAAGCTAAAATCATGAACTTGCATGCCAGCTTCATCATGAAATCCTGGAAAGAATCCTCAAATTCTCTATTTCTCAGTTTCTCTTCAACTATAAAATAGGAACAAGTAATAGTACCCACCTTATGGTGAGAATTAAGGGAATTTAAACACTGGAAGATCCTGGACAAGCTCCCAACACATGGTGAGTGCCTCATGATTTGTCAATAATGTTCTGTGGATGCACCTGGGCTTCTTCTTGGCATCAGGAGTAAAGCAGTCTGAAGAAAGCAAAGACTGCACATGAAGAGATCATCTGGAATCTCAATCCTATGCATTGAATAGAAAATAAGTATGTGGTTTGGGACATAGGAGACGTGGTAATAGAGGTAATGAGGTACAAGTGGGAAAACCTATGAAAGCAAAAGTGTTAAGATTTGGAATGGATGGAATGAGAGCTAGGAGGATGTTAAAGTTTGTCTCAATTAAAAAAGTCCATACCAGCACATTTCATATAGACACACATTCAGAGAAGATTATGCATTTTAAGACAATTTGAAATTGCTTTGGTCACATAATTCTCTAAAGTGGTATAGAGTAAAAAGGAGATGTCTGGATGAATATACACACATTGACATTATCTTTATTTTATTAATCTATTCAATAATTTTTGGGATAATTCTGCCTTGAAATATTCATGCAGTAACACTGGTTAGGGGGACAAATTATAAGAATCCAGGAATTATTTTAAATACTAAAAAATGAAGATGTGGAAGGCAGAATATTTCTTTTCACTTCATTTATTAGTTTTATGTGTATCAATGTTTGCCTGCATGTATGTAACTTCACCCATGTCTTGTGATGCCCCTTGAGGTCAGAAGAGGGCATCAGATTCCCTGGAACTGGAGTTACGGACAGTTGGTAGCTGCCAAGTGGGTTCTGGGAATCAAAACCGGAGCTTCTGCAAGAGCAGGCAGTGATCTTAAACTGCTGAGATTTCTCTCCAGCCCCTGGAAGGTGGATTATTTCTGCCAGAAAGTTTTGAACATATGTATAAAGTTACTATACATCATAGCCCTAAGGTTTTGAACAAATGTTCTTATTCATGATGTTAATGCATGTGACCA